ACTATATTTCTAGTGCTTCGATGACTTTCGAATCACAAACATTTATCTCTGTTTCAGTTTTACAAAAAATTTTGAAGTAATAGATGAACATGAATCTTTTGGCAGACAAAATCTTTACTAAATAGCGTCGAAGCATGTCTTTCTTAAAAGAACAAGAAAAAAATGAGTATTATCAGTAATATTCACGTAGTTAGTGGGAATATGTTATCAACTAATTTAACTGACCGCATTAAAACTCCCTGTTTATAACACATAACGAACATACAGAATGTGCCAAAGGTTACTATTGAAAATACATGTAACTCCTGTAGCAATGAAGCTTAACACAAAACTTATTTTATTTGAAAGAAGAGGCTAACATGCCTGTATTATTAAAGGCCCGTTTCAGCAACAATGTAGCAAAAGTGGAATTTGCGAATACAAAAAAGAATAAAATGAGGTTTTTCTCTATGTGGAAAACGATATGAAGCGTTTTTTCGATATCTATTAGAATTTCAATCGTTATTAGGAACCTCAAATCATTCAAATCTATCCTCATGACTTTACAAATACTCATCCTGATATATTCTCGAGAAAAAGGAGCAAGGGAGCCAATATTAATAATAACATGTGTTGTTAAATAGTCCAACGCACACTTTTCATGGCCTTAATGGTTTTCGAAGAGGCACGAACGACCTACCGAGGGAAAATGCATCAGTTATTGGTTCTTTTCAAAATGTGTCAGAAAATGGCTGTCAAGCAATACTGAAAGATCTAACTGATCTGAAGTGCACAATGACGAACAAAGTTCTAGTAGATATAGAAAGTAACACTGTATTGTTTTTGACATAGAAAAAGCCTAATGTTTTTCTTTTTGTAGCTACAAATCCTGCTTTTGCTACGTTGTTGATTAACTTGATCTTTAAGAACAAAGTGTTCCTAAGCTCCCATTTGAAATAAAAAATATTAGATTCAGCTTGAATAATAGTGCATTGAAATGTATTTAATAAGTCACAATGACTTTTGGCACATTTTATTCGCTGATCACTTTTAGTCATATCGATATCCTTCATATGAAGAAAAATTAGTTTACGTGGAATAGAAGAATAGCTGCAATGGTTCATTCAAAAAAAAACACCATGAAATCATTTTTGGTCGTGAGAATTGCTTTTAGCTTTGCCTTGCTATATTCACATTAGATTAGGTGTAAGATTTTTATGTACATGCTAATTGTCCAACAGAAAAGTTAACGTTGCTGTAAAATTTTTCACTATGGTTCAAATTTTGACATGAATAAATCCAAAAATGCGTTTAAAATATAGCGAACATTATAAAAAGTAGAAAATAGTTTCTTTTTTGTTCCATCTCTCATCATGGCCTAGAAAAAAATTTTGAGCCTCCTCTAAGTTAAAATCGTTCCGCCGCCCATGATCGTTACTACTACTAAACCCATCGAGTCTTCAGTTTCCATACACTGAATGAAAGTATAATCTGCTGTAAATAATTTAAATGTACCTCATTTGCCAAGGGTGTTTAGATGATAGTTAAAGTATTTACTATTTCTTTAACTATATACTAGCTCAAGAGCTTTATCAAAGTTTTCTTTCTTTCAATATAGACATAATCTTGTTTCGTTGTTGTCATCGCAAAGTTTACTATGTAGATTAGTCGAATTAATTAATATTCTTATTTGTTAGCATTGTTTTTGTACATTTGTTCTCTATATTATGTAATTCATTGGTATTTTTCGCAATGTCAATCGGTTAAAATACTAGCGTCATCTATAACCAACTTAACAGATAAGAACAGCATTTCTTTAGAGAAAGAACTATAAAAACGATTCATTCGAATAAAAATTGTAGAAATATTGGTCAAGACATATTTGAGAAAATTCTTTTTAGAAAATGTCCCAATTTTAATTGTGATTAGTCAACGTCTTGAACTACTTGGAAAAAATCTGCTCAACTACCTTTGTCTGATTATGTTTGTGACTATTCATTATTCAGTTCGAAACAGTATAAAAACTCTTAATTGATCGCAGACGAGTGTTGAATCAAAATAAGAGTTATTTATCAGTCTTGTAACTTCATACATATTGTATATAAATTGATGATGTAAGTTTTGTTTTTATTTAAATGAAAATATTCTTATGAAATAACATTTGTTTAGGAAAAGACATCACGAAGATAATCCTTATTCGTTAACTGATGATGGTGGTAGTAGTGTGACAAGTCATTCAATGCCAAAACGAGTAGCAACAAGAAATAGTTCTCAATTAAAGTATGTTTTAAAGAAATTAAGATTGTATTTATTAAAAAAAAAATAAAATATAATTTACTTGTAGTTCGACAAATAGTTTGTCTGTTGCTGGAAATTATTCTCCACCAAGTTCAACGGGGTCTGATTCATTATCTTCATCAAACTCTACTTCTTCATCGAATCCAATTCATTCTCAGTTATGTACATGTCCCAATATGGATTGTGTTATTCACGATCGTCGACGTTCAACAAATATCCCTGTAGAATTAACATCAAGTTCAAATCCAACTTATGGAAATAATAATCTATTACTTTATTACGCACATCTAGAACGATGTCGTCGACATGGTCAAAATATTCATCAAGATACATCATCTTAAGAAATATCATTTTTTTTATTTATTTGTTTCTTTACGTTTTTTTTCTGTATTAGCTCATGCTAAAACGAAAAAATATAAACCTATGGAGAAAGTCGAGATTCTTCTTTTTTGTTTTAAAATTGTAGATAATTGAATGGCAACATTGAATACACCTTCGACAGCTTCAAGTGAACCATCCAAACGTGATGATGGATTATTAGAAACACGAAAACTTGATACTATTTGTTTATTTGATGTCGATGGAACGATTACTATGCCAAGACAAGTAATCATAAATGAAGATTTATTTTTTTAAAATAATGTTGTCCATTTTTTTGTTCTAGGGAATAACATCTGACATGGATGCATATCTTCAGAAACTTCGAAAAACATGTCTCGTTGGTCTTGTTGGCGGATCGGATATTGCTAAGATTGCTGAACAAATTGGTGGAATGCAAGGTAAATCATTATTTAGATTTGACTTCTTTAGATATATTCTTTGTTTTTAGCTGTAGCTAAATATGATTATGTCTTTGCTGAAAATGGTCTCGTAGCTTTTAAAAATGGAAATCGTTTTTTTGAAGAAGTTTGTTAATTAAATTAGAATTTTTTTTTTCTTCTATATTGATTATTTATGTGTGTTTTTGTAGAATATTCAAAAATATGTTGGTGAAGATAATTTACAAACATTTATTAATTATTGTTTAAAATATTTATCTGATATTATATTACCATTTAAACGGTAAGTTACCTATTTCTTTTTTAAATATAGTTTCAAAAAAAATTGTTTAATTAGTGGGACATTTATTGAATTTCGTAATGGTCTTATTAATGTTTCACCAGTGGGTAGAAATTGTACAAAAGAAGAACGAGATATATTTGAAGCATATGATTTAGTAAGTCATTTAGTTTTAATTCTTTTATTTAAAAATAAGACATTACATAAATGAAGGAACATAATATTCGTCGTACAATGGTCAACCATCTTCGAGAAAAATTTGCTCATATGAAACTTTACTTTTCCATTGGTTTGTTTTTATTTTATTTATTAAAATTTACTTGTTCTTTTTTGTTTTCTAATTGATTTTCTTTTAAGGTGGTCAGATTAGTTTTGATGTTTTTCCCGAAGGATGGGATAAACGATATGCATTAAAACATTTAGAGAATGATAAAATTTCCAATATTTATTTTTTTGGTGATAAAACATTTCAGGTAAGTTCGTCTTTTTTATTTATTATATAGACAAATATTTGTAAAAAGAAAAAACAATTATTTATTTAATAATCAATGTCGATACATTCAAAATGCTTGTTCTGATTCATTTATTTTTTTTTTTTTATAACATAACTAAATATTAGTTTATCATTATATTCTATTAGTGTTTCATCTAGATTTCGTTTCCCGAGTGGGCGAGTCGAAATTTCGGGTGGGCGGTGCCCACTTGGCCCACCCAGTAGACGAATGGCTGCTGTATATTTTCGAGTGGGCGGCGCCCACCCAGCCCACCTAGTAGATAAATCACTGTATTCTATACAGACATTCTATCTTACATCAGTTAAATATTAGATGACTATTTTTAGTAAATGTTATGCTTAGATATTATTAGAATGAGTCGGTTTTTTTTTGTAGATTTGAGTAATTAAGATCAATTTATTTATGTTTAGATAAACTTTAAAAGACTTTATTGAGAATATAATTTATGTCAGAACACGATTAAATAGTTCATAATATCAAAATCAAAGTTTTTTTTTTTCCCGAAGAGGATTATTCAATTAGAAGATGGTTAGACTTGCAGAGAAAAAACACAGCGACCATAGACTGATCAAATGTTTCCATATGCCTCTGATTAATCTGATGTTTTTTTTTATTCATGATAGTACTTCATAGCTGAACAAATTTTGCGTCGATCTCAGAGTTTGAAATATTCTAAATCATATTGATGAATAAAAATTATTTATCCTAAAGAAAATTTTTAGTGTCAATATTCATAATTGGTTTCTTTGAAACTTGATTTCTCATCCGAATTCTTTATGTCTATTTCGTTATAAGAATTTGAAGAACAAGTATTTTAAACGAATTGATATTGAATATTTATGAATAAGAAAAGATTGATCATTTAATAAAATTAAAAGTTGAGTTGTTGTATCTAGGGTGGCAATGATTATGAGATTTATAGTGATCCACGAACAAAAGGTTATTCGGTAACAAGTCCAGTGGAAACACGTACTATTTTATCTGAATTATTCGGATTGTGATATCGATTTTATTTATTGGGGGTTTTTATTGATAATTGTAGCTTCATATTTATTGTTATTGGTTAATTAATCTATTTACTAACATAAAAAAAATAATATTAACAAATCTCGTTTACTAAATTTTAATTAATTTAAAATTGAAAGATTTTCATTTATGTTTCCTTTTTCGTTTATTTTGTTTCTCTTGTTTCTCTTGTTTGAGAATACACGATGATCTTCCACGATGTCCAATACGTTTTTTCATTTCTTGTTCGACAGTTTTAAGTTGATTATCTTCTAAAATTCCTCCAACAGGTACACTTCGTTGAATATCTTGAATATACCATCGAGGCATAAAATTTGAATGTCTTTGATTTGATCTTTTCATTTGTGTATATCGAAATGGAACACATTCGGGTAAATCATATTGTAGAGGTTTTCCAGTGAGAGGATCAATCTCTAATGGTTGAGGAATATAAGCAAATGCATGAATTGTATTTGGATCATCAATATGAACTGTTTTTTGAATTAAATTAAGAAATGAATAAAGATAAGAAATACAATATTTAAGACGAAGATCATATTTTGAAAGAAATTTCCAAATAAGTTTATCAATTGAAAGTATATCTAAATGATCAACAATTCCATCATTTGTTGTTTTATAACCGATCATAAGTGTATTTATATTAGCTAACCACATTTGTGCCCACCAACCAAGTGTTTGTAATTTATTTTGATCTCGATAAAAAATTTTTTTATTTGTACATTTCATTTCAATATAACCAGATTTTAATTCATATTCATTTCGTTTTTTCTTTTCAATTATTTCATTTTCATCACTTTTTATTAATTGAAGATTTTCATTTATTTGAATTTCTTTTAATTTATCTTCATTTTCATCACTTTTTGTTAGTTGAAGATTTTCATTTATTTGAATTTCTTTTAATTTATCTTCATTTTCTTCGGATGATTTTTCCGTTTCGACAACTATTCCACCTTCCCACCAATCTATTTCGGTAGATTTTCTTTAAAAAAATAAGAATTTATTTTTGATAACAAACTATTCTATATAAGAATAACTTACTCGGCATTTTCTGTTATTGTTTCTTCTGTTGTTGTTGTTGTTGTTGCATTATCTTCCTAAAGAAAAATTTCATTGAAGATCAAATGAAATTTTTATATGAAAAAAAAAACGAAACTAACTTGTTTAGCGGTATCAGTCGTTTCTGTAGTTGATGGTTTTTGTTGTGTATCACATTTTAGTTCTCCATCAATTTCATTTGAATAGAGTATATTAAAATCTCCAAATTGCCAATATTGTACTGTATGAAATTGTTGTTGAGGTTTTTCTAAAGGAATTTTTTCTTCAAGTCTTGTTGTATTTGGTTGATTTGTTGTAAATAAATCTTCAAATTTATAACCACTATATTCATCAATAGACATATTTTCAACTGATTTTGTTTCTTTATTAGCTAATGCTAAATAAAATTGTCCTTTAATACGTATAACAAGTAATTTCCATGGATCGGCATCACAGTAAAGATTAGCTAAAATAGTTCGTAAAACTAATCGACGACAAATAAATGTTGGTGGTTTTAACATATTTGGATTATTTGAAGAAAAAAGATGTTGTTTTTCTGAATACCAACGAAGTAATGGACGAAGATCAGTTGAATCAAATCGACGAAAATAATTATCTGGATTTAATCGAACTTTTTCAATAAATTCCGAATAACCTCGATAAACATCATACGAACATCTATCACGTTTTACTGGAATGTGTATAAAACGTTTAAATGATTTATCGAACTTATATATTGGTTGAGCAAGTGAAGCATCAAATGAAATATAACCAATTTCACGACGAAGTCGTGACCAAGTTTTTGGTGGTTGACGTTCATAATCAGATCGTAATAAACAAGAACCCAAATTAACTGATGTATTTTCACTTTTTATTATATCATATAATTGTGGACGCTCTTCTTCTAATAATACCTGAGAATTTGTTAAATCTAAAATTAACACAAAAAGAAAAAGAAATATTTAATTTGTGAAACAAACAAATAATTAACCTCGATATATTTGTTCTTCATTGAAATCATTTTGTATTTGTTCTTCTCCAATAGCAATTTGTTCATTTCCTTTAAATTGTAAATTTAAACCTTCGAGAGAATCTAGTTGATGTTTATCATCATTTTTTATTGACATATGTTTACAACGATATCGACGAAAAGCTCGAGCACTTACTTCATCACTATCAATAAGTAAATGTTCAAGTAAAACTTGTTTAGCATCGATTGGTGAATAAACTAAATTGATAATTTCTGAAGGAGAAAGATTTAATATAATTGTTTTTAATTCTTGTAAAGACCATTGATAAAATAAAGATTGATCATCATTTCCAAAATTTTGTTTTATATCAAATGAATCAATTATTGATAATAATTGTTGTTTTATATCATCTGATGAAATACTTAATGTTTGTTTAAAGGAAAAATCAATTAAAGAAAATAATTGTTTATAATTTTCATCATCAATTGATAATTTTAAATGAAATTTATCAGGAAGAGAATATTGTTTATCAATACTATCGGGTAAACTAATTAAATAAGATACAATTAGATTTTCTTTTAATAAATCTAATGACCATTTTATATATTTCAGATTCTTTGAATCAAGTTCAATTTTAATTTCAGTTAAAGGAGAGTATTCTTTAAAGTATTCTTCAACAGGTAATGATAGATTATATGCAGAAGTTCCTTCAAGCCAATGAACAATAATTGGATTTTGAGGAAGACTTAATGTTGAATTTATTGGAGGAATACACGGATCGATTTTTACTGATAAAATATCTTCGGTATCTTTACCAAACAAATTTAATTTTTCATCATCAGATGCAATAGCGAATTTTATCTTAAAAAAAAACAAAAGAAAAGAAAAACAAAGTTAACAAATAATGATTTACACAAATTCTTACGTTATTTCGAAATTCATCTCCTTCAATAAATTTTTTTCTTGAATTATCCGTATTTGTATCTAAATCATGTTTATATTGTTGATCCTGTTGATTGACTAAATTAAATTGCATTAATTGTTGATTATTATCATGTAAAGCCCATTGATGTTGTTTTTCTTGAGTATTTTGAATTGAAAAAGATATTTTATATTGTTGTTGATCATCATTCCATTGAAAAAGTTGATAATCATCTTGTTCAATATTATTTTTCCATAATTGTTCAGATTTATTTTCAATATCAAAAATAACATTTTGATTTATTTGATCATTAATTGAAATTTGTTGACTACTTTCTTTTAATTGATCATTATCATAATGATACTTAAAATCATCTTTTGTATCACTTGTCCATATAAAATGACTTTCTAAATCTTTTTCAATTAAAGCTTGTGCTTCTTGGTCATCAATATCAACACAATTTTGATTTTGGTTTTTTCGACGAAATCTTGGAACTAATTTTCTTTCTTTTTCATGATGAGTTACCTCCATATTGAAACTTCGGGGTTTTTTTTTGTGTCACAAAGTGACTTTAAATGTAAGAAAACATATATCTTGTTATTGACATACTATTGTGAAATAATTTCGTAACTCTGAAAAATGTCGAAAGTAGAGACGCCACTTACTGCATCACCTACATGTTATGTGGTGCCTCTACTTTCGACATTTTTCCTTTCGACATTTTTCAGGATAACCAAATAATTTTTCAACGAATGAAGAAACAAAACGGAGTTATTTATCTGTGACTTGTTGCAGGTGATAAAGAAAAAATATCGGATAAAAGTCATTTTTTGTTACTGACATGTTATTACGAAAATTATTTGATATAAAATAATCAAAAACTAGAAGAATAATTGATTAGTTTGAGTTATTTCAGATAAAAAAATGTCACTTGCTGATGAACTTCTTGCCGATCTTGAAGATATGGATGGAGGCCAAGGCCTTGCAAATAATGATCAAAATGATCTGAAAGATGATCAATCAATGGAAGTTGATCAAGTATCTGCTGCAATTAAATCTTTACCAAATAATAATAGTGTTCATTCTGTTGCCAAATTAAAAGATTCAATATTACTTAAAGAAACAATGAGAAAAATTGATTTTTATATAAAACATCAACGAAAATCTACAACAGAAATTCAAGGTCCTGTTGAACATGATCCCGAATATTTACTTATTGTTGACGCTAATAATTTACTTGTGGAAATTGATAATGAAATTGATATTATTCATAATTTTGTTCGAACAATTTATTATAAAAGATTTCCAGAATTAGAACAACTTGTTCAATTACCAATGGATTATCTTAAAACTGTTCAGGTAAATCATTTTTATTTATTAGAAAAGATTGAACAAAAAAAGAATTATTTCCATTTGATCTAAATCATTACTAAATTAATTAAAACGAATATTCAATTATCATTAGAATATTTTTAAAACATTGATTACATTTTTGTTTTCTTGTTTTAGGAATTAGCTAATAATGTTGATCGAGCAAAAATGAATGAAAATTTACAAAAATTTTTGACACCAGCAACAATTATGATAGTCAGTGTATCAGCTTCAACAACACAAGGGTATTTATTTATTTGATCTATTTATTTAATTATTTCAATTTTCTTTTTTTCTAGAAAAAATCTAACAAATGAAGAATTAGAACGTGTTATGGAAGCATGTCAAATGGTTTGTATTTTTATCAAATATTTATTTTTTTATTATAATCTTCAACTTTCTTTTTTGTTTAATTTTAGGCGATGAATTTAAGTGACAATAAACAAACAATATTATCATATGTTGAATCTCGAATGACATTTATCGCACCAAATTTATCAATTATTGTTGGTGCATCAACAGCAGCTAAATTAATGGGTATGGCTGGAGGTTTAACTAATTTAACAAAAATGCCTTCATGTAATATTTTATTACTGGGGGCACATAAAAGACTTCTTGGAGGTTTTTCATCAACAGCAGCTATGCCTCATGCTGGCGCCATTTATTATTCGAAAATTGTTCAAGATTGTCCACCGGTTAGTTATTTATAACAAAAAAATAGTTTTTAACTTTTACTTTATTTTTCAGTTTATCTTTTGATGATGAAAATATTTCAATAACTTCTACAGATTTTCGATTATTCATTTAACCCTCATACGCCCACCTTTCGAACTACTACTTGTTGACAAACTGGGGAGTGATGCGAAACTCACCCTAACATAATAGACACAATATACTATATTACCATTATATTATAATGGAACTATAATGGTTCTGGAGGAGACTTGAGTCTAAGACGAATAAACCAAGCAGCAGTTATTTTGAATGGTATTTATGGAATTATTTTTACTTTCTTCTCATTCTCTATTTTCAAAATGTTTGAGATTGTTTATTGCATATGAAACATTCACAGATATTCTAACAAAATTTTTCGTTTTGATGATGATTGTCATGTAACAAAAGAATGTTTTGGAAATGAAATGCTTCTAAGTACGTTGCACTCAGCTGAAACTTCTGTATTGATAAGGAAAGAATCTTACCGAACAGTTTTGATATGATTTCTTTCGTCATTAGAACTGAAATTTCGGCAAATTGAAGCGTACTTGAAAACTTATCGTTCCTGAAGTAACACTATTTATTACAGCCCCGGTTTGATTGATTGGTGTTACCAGCTTACTGTACTGGGTGTCCCTAAAGTACAGCTCGGAAAACAAGATCCTATATAGGGCTACAATTACAAAGCAATAAAAAGAATCGCACTGAGGTCCGAGTGGGTCCCATGTGGGCGTATTAGGGTTAAGAGAATGAAATTAGGATTTTCCTATTAGACTCAATTCTTATGAGTAAAAACCTTTAAGTTAGTTCTAAGTCTAATAAGCTTTCTATTGAAATAATAGCCAGAATTTTTTAAAGATAACTCTCTTGAAATTCTTTCATAAGATTTGAACAGAGATTTTCATTTTCATTCTTGCCCTCTATTATACAAAGAGATTAATGAATTACTATATAATTACCATGTCAAATTCATTCATATAGATTTGATGTAAATCTACAGAAGTAATTATATTGATACTAAAAGAAAACTTGATGAATATGAGAAACGAAATAGGAATCGACACTAAACAATAAGGCAATGTTGAAATTCTTAGATTGACGACAATTTACTAAAAGAAGTTAAACCAATAAATTATGAACGAAAATCTTCTCCATAAGATAGTTTTAATTGATGAGAATGCTAGTTAACTGCTCAATAATCTATATACATTTTTATTAGCATATAGCACGTTCAAAAACTGATAGGTTTCAGAGTTTTATTGAGATTTTCTCTTATAATAAAAGCATGCGAAAACTTCGCGAGGACGAACACTTACTTTTGAAAGTGTTGACACGTAGAATGTCCTAGAATAACTAAACACTTCGAAAGAGCCAATCAGATCCTCGGGCGATAAAGGTCACAATGATTAAGATACAGACTATTTGCACAAGAACGTTGAAAAAATGAGTCATTTTAATCAATTGAATATTTTTGATGGGATGTATTTTTGAGAATATTCTTAAATTTCTAAGATTTTCTCACGAAATCGTTTTCAATTTGAAATTTGTTGTTTTGATTTCGTCGTGAAACGAAATATTATTAGGCTAAAATTGAATACAATAATGACAAATCTGTCTTACTCAATCATAAGTCATAATCATCATCGAATTATTCTAGTCTCTGAAATCTTATTTTTATTTTTAAAAGATAAACTGAAAAACAAAATGCTGAAACTTGAAAATATTTGTTGATTATAATAATATTCTTATTTTTAGGATCTTCGAGTTCGAGTAGCACGTTTGGTTGCATGTAAAATAACATTAGCTGCACGTATTGATAGTTTTCATGAAAGTCCAAATGGTGAACAAGGAAAATTTTTATTAAGTGAAATCGAACGACGTTTAGAAAAATTACAAGAACCACCACCGGTTAAAGCAGTTAAACCATTACCACCACCAATTGATCCTGGAAGAAAAAAACGTGGTGGAAGAAGACATAGAAAAATGAAAGAACGTCTTGGAATGACTCAATTACGTGCTGAAGCTAATCAAACGAAATTTGGAGAGGTACAACTATTTTGTTTTATTTTAACATTTTTTTTTCTTAATTTTCCATTTTTTTTTTTATTATTTCAGATTGAAGAAGATGCATATCAAGATGCAATTGGTTTTTCAACAGGTATGATTGGAAAATCAGGTTCTGGAAAAGTTCGAGCAGCACAAGTTGATTCAAAAACAAAAGCGAGAATTTCTCAAAAACTTCAAGTTTGTTTTTTTTTCTGTTTTCTTTTTCTAATAATTGTTTTATTTTTTTTATTTAGAAAACTTTACAACGTCAAAATAATCCATATGGTGGAACAACAACAGTACATAATAGAAAACAAATTAGTGGAACAGCATCTAGTGTTGCTTTTACTCCACTTCAAGTAAGAATATCAATCTTAGATTTTTCTTTTTATAATTCTTTTTTTCCTAGGGCCTTGAAATTGTTAATCCAAATGCAGCTGAAAAAGATAAAACTGGAATTGAAAGTCAAAAATATTTCTCAAATACATTTGGTTTTACTAAAATTAGTCCATCAGTTATTCCAAAAACAACTTGATTTATTTATATGATTTTGTAAATAAATAACAATGGACAACATTAACAACAATTCTTTGTTTTTCATATGACGTTTTCTTTTTTGTTCTCTTGATCATGTTTAACACAAAACTTTATTTGAATATTAAATAAAAGATTTATGATCAGATAACCATATCGAAAAGATATTTTTTTAATCAATATTCAATTAACCATCAAGCGAAAAATTGACAATATCATTCGAAACACAAATATACTCAATTTGTTATTTATTATCTTACGCTCATTTAACTTGCAGAAAAGTATTTGAATCAACGAAAAATGTTAACATTTAAAACTTGTAATTCGATAATTTTTGTGCAAAATTTAGTTATCAACGAACGAAACTAGATGTTCTATGGATTAGAATTGAAAAAAGCTAAAACATTCTTCTACGATTTATTTCGATTTCAATGCCAAAAAAAGTATTTTTTTAAATATATATCTATTGAACTTCAGTAGATTTTCTCATTCAACTGCATAGTATATAAAGAAGAATAGATTTCGACTATTAATTCTGATAGTCGACTGGAAGCATTTTTCAGTCGGAATATAATCTCTCAGGCCGACAATCAATACTGATATTTTTCAATCATAAAACGAAGAGACTGAATATCATAGTCCACTTTTCAAAAATTCGACTGCCATTAAACAGAAAATGATTTGACGCTGCTACTCGTCTGATAATGTCATGTCAATATCAACATTTCATTTTGAGCTTTTAAATAAACTTTTTCTAAAAAAGACAAATCGTTGAAAAAAAACTCAACAAACAAATCACCAGAGTGAAATTCATGATGAAAAAAGATCATCGATTATCACTTGAAAATATGAAATAAGAAGTTTTA